GTTATGTTAGATGATAGAACAAGAAGCAGTATATATATGGATATCAATGAAGATTTGTGCTATCAAAAGCTATACGCACTCTTGGCTCACTCTACGAATTGCACCCGGAGTCTTGTAATTTTCAGTTACCTATATCTCCGGAATCAAAGACCAATGAACATCATTCTAAACAACAAAAAAATAAAGTACTTTATAAAACTGCCTCGTTGGCCGAGTGGTCGCAAGTGCGACTGCCGAGCAAGGAGTCTCGGGTACGATTCCCGGGTCGGGCAAAATATTACTGGGTTTTTAAAAAATTCTCAGTAGTAGCACGGAGTCTGGAATTGTACCCGGTATATGGCAATAGGCTCACCCCCTATTACATGGGACTCGGAACATAAATAGTGAAAAGTGGGTGTCACATTGTACAGTGGCATAATGTGCACCTCTGTCTACGCCTTCGGAATAAAAGGCGTGATGTTATGTTATGTTATGTTACTTTATAAAACTAAAATAATACCCGGCCATTCATACAAAAGACAAACAGAAACTGGATTTTATTCAACTATAAACTCTTCGGGTTTTGTGCAAACAAGCTTTCTTTCGCAATATACGGGACTTTGATCTCAAAGAAACCTTTTAAACGTCGACTTCACTGCGACTTCTAAAGCATAAGGTCAACATTTATACAGAGGTTATCGAAATCAATTTCACTATTTGACATGAAAAAGCAATAAAATCACCTCGGGTCTTTAGAACACTCAGAAAATTGAGAAAATAGGTATCTACACAAGTATGTTTAAAAACGATAAATATAAGACTATTGTTACTTGTCGTCGCGGAGAACCTAAAGTCGCGGAGAACCTAACGGGTTACCGGGGCTCCGGCTCGACGTGCAGAAGAAGGAACGGGGTGGTTTTTAGTCAGTAAGAGTCTGACACTCCCTCCCGCCTCACCCAGGCGGGAGCAGTCATACGATGATTTTCTCCTCTTAAAAAAAATTGTTACATGTCATTTCTAAAATTCATTTTATCCCAATGAATTAATAGACAACGGTATACTGCCTATCAATCAATCGTTCAGTTCTCCGGTTTTTTCTAATAAGACTCTGGTACAGTAAACGAAATTGTCTGGTACGGTGAATATGTTTAGAGATATTCGAAGATATCAACAAAACACCCTGTGACCCTGTGACCGAAACAAGGTTAGTAACCTGGAATTCTTAAGTAATCAGGTAAACGTTTAGAAGAGAGGAAGGTAGTAAAACTGACACTATTGTTTGGGGACCACACAGTCCCAAAACAACGGAATGTTTCCGTTACGACTACCGTATGTAGAAAATTTACTGAATTATCGTGGCGCGAAAAGTCGTGAAAACAAAATGGTGTTGTTGTTTCCCTTGAAAGTCTTATGGGACTGTGCTAAACAATGTGTTCGATAAAATACGTTACTAAAGAAGAAAACTATAG